CACCGGACGGGCCCGGCCCGGAGGGCGGCATCACCGCCGGGCACCGGGCTCCCGCCGCGGAGGTGGCGACGGAGGGGGTCGGGGTGCGGGGCAGGGGAGGGAAACGGGTCCCGACGCCCCCCACATTAGGTCTCCTTCCCACCCCAGTGCACCTTTGGGTGCAGCCAGAGTGGACTGTGAATTACCGTCCTGGATGAGCGCCGGTGCGCCCCGCGCCCTCCCGGTCCTTCGCCGGTGAGGGTTACGTAACGGGCCGGGCGCGGGGCGTCCTCGGCTCTCCCCTGGGGGACGCGCGGGGCGCAGCCCGCTCCCCCGCTCCGCGCAACTCCACGGCGACAGATCGCTCCTAAAGAGATGTCCAATCTCCGCCACACACCCCCCCCCCGGTGATGGGGTCCTAACAGCACCCCGATCTCGCCCTCCCCCAGAGTCTTGGGGTCCCTCCTGCCCATCGATGGGCTTTGGTTCACCGGACTCGGGGTCTGTCCGTGGACGCCGCGGTGCGCTCTGTTCCAGGCGTCCAGACCGAGTGACACAACCCACTGCGGCTTTGGGGGCGGGGTGGGGGTGGGGAGGCAGGCGTGTGCCCGCGTTGCCGCAGTGCCCGAGGACTCTCCGGGGGGAGACGGGGACCAGACGCGCTGCGGATGCCGGCCGGGGATGCTGGGCGGCCGGCCCTGGGCGCTGGCCCAAGACGCGCATGCAGATCAGAACAGAAGTAAAGCACCCAGAGTGGGAACTGCTCTGCCCCCCAACCCCCGCCCCACCCCGTTCGCACTGCATCTTCTTATTCCTAGAAGCTTCTGGTGGCACTTCCTTATCTATTGATGTATATTTAGGTTTAGTGAGGGATTAGGAAAAAGCTGGGTCTCCTGTGGCTAGAGTATTGCACTCCTGGCTAGAATACACCCTAGACGGGAGAGGGGAGTTTGTGGATCACATTTCAGAGAAAACTTCCTGTGTAATGTTGTTTTCTCCTTTCATGATTCCTTTTCGATGCCACATGACTAGCTAGGAACTTTACCACGAGTTGGAGACGCTCCTGTCTTTCCTCTCCTCTTGTACCCCAAAGGAGACAAAGTTGAAGAATAAGAGTCCATCCGCTGGGGAGGCAGTGGGTCATTTTTTGCGCGCGCGCGCACACACACACACACACACACACACACACACACGGCTTCTGTTTTTCTCTTCTCAAGCCTGTAGCCTCTTATTCAGGAGAACAAGAAAGAGCAAAAATTTCTACAAGTGCTTTTCAAAGTGGTTTACACATCACCTGTGGTAAAAGAACCTCAAATTCAGCAGAAAGATCCTGTTCCTCCCTGAAAGCAAGCTAAGCAGGCTTCTTGCCCAGGTATCTTCTTGCTGCTTGAAGTATCTAGGTACAGAAGAGGCTGGTGTGTCTCAATTCCCATCTAACACAGAACATTACTCACTACATCTCTTGATGAAGAACAAGAGCGCTAAAAATTCAAAATAAAAAATAATGTATGTAATAATAGAAAAAATAACTCAAGGGCATTTGATAAGGGAGAGGTTCATGAATTTTTTACAGGTGAGTTGATTTCTAGTGACCCCCCCCCCTGCAACTTTCAAAGGTCAGTTCCTAGAGAGGAACCTTCACAGCTAGTGTCTCTTTACTTCCTGTGTTTTTCCTTGCAGTATTTATCACACTATGTAAATATGACTGTGCGCTCTTGGCTATCCACTCTGGTAGATGTAAGTTCTAAGAATGCAGGAATTTCACTCTCCTCATAGCTTTCTTCCCATGGCTTGGCATATAGTCAGTGCTCAGTGAATTTTGTGAATATTCGAGTGTGAATTGCAAGAGAAAAATCAATGGATTTAAAATTTTAAACAGTGACTACTGACTGAAAAAACATCCCATAGCCTAGAAGGCAGCTGGAGCACATTAATTTAAGAGCCTCCACACCAGAGAGAAATTGTTTCCCTCATTGGAGTAACCTTAGATCTCAACAAATCTAATTCAGCATTCTCTTTCCACTTTAATCTTTAATACTGGACAAGTGCGGAAATGATGGACTCCACATATTGCAGCACCACACACTTTCAGCTTAAAGATTAACTATATCTTTTACAAACCAGGACTGGGCTGGGCTGGGCTGGGCTTGTATAAGCCTGTTATTGAATGAGTGGTCTGGAATTGGGAGAATTCCCAGGAGATCTGAGTTGGTGGGGGGGTAGTGGTGGTTAAGTGACTTGTTCAGGGAGTTCCCAGATAACTGTGTACGTAGTTAGGGAAGCCAGATCTTTGAACTTCACATTATAAATTTCTTATTATTGAGCATCTTCTAAAGAAAACTTTCAGGGCCTTACTGGATCTGACTTACTGAGAGGGTGTAAGATGTATGACTTGGCTTGGCAGGTTGATTAATGGGTAGAACAGGGAAATATTGCTTGCAGCTAGCAAGGTAACCAGTTTTCTGGATTAGCCAAGGGAAAGCATTCTTTGTAATCCCTGGAAATTATGCTCTCTGAGCTCTGCTACGTAAGGATCTTTGAATAGGGTGAGGGACACAAAGTCCCTAACAAAATTATGTTTATTTGTCCTGGGATCAAGCCAACCTTGGATACAATGGTATTTTGATTTCTAATATCTTGGCTTACCCAGCACAGCACAGTTGCATTGTCTTTTCCATTACATTAGACTAGAGATGGTCTTTCCAAATATCACTGTAGTCAATGAATACATTTTGAAAACTACTCACCCATGCTTCTGAAGTTCAGTTGGGGAGCAGACCAGAAATAAGTTGTCTTTAGAAGTCTTTGTAGTTCTCAAGTCTCTCTTGAAATACTTGTAAAAACCTATTTATATATAAATATTTGTAGTCTGTTGATCTATAAAACTCTATCTTTGGATGTGCTGGTTTGCAAAAGAAGACAAATAATTCATCCTGGCACTCAGGAGACTGACATCTGTCCCTAGCTATCTAATACTTCTCTAGGCCTCTGTTCTTCCATCTGCAAAATGGGTATAGTAGACTAGACCCATTGCTCTCTTACAGTAGCTATAGTAAACTTGTTTCAAGGAACTTTTAAAGCAAGACAAAGCAATGTTCAGGTCTGAGCCCAGAGGAATCCAGCATACAGGTGAGCAGCCCTCATTTCCTGTCTCTTCTGAGACCCTGATTGTGTGCTCAGTAGTGGCCTGGAGCATGGTCACAGCTGTTGTGACATTTTGACTTGGTCATAACTAAACCAACAACTCAAAACTTCCAATTTTAATTATTCTTAGTGCGATGTTCAGGTTTGAGAGAGTAAATAAGCCAACTCGAAAGCGTGCATTTGATAATTTTTTTTCTAGTTATAGACATCATCATTACTCAGAGGAGGAGACTTGGGAAAGCACAAAGAAAAAAAGTTTAGCCAATGCCTGTGTATCACTGCCCAAAGGTATTTATTCAGTAATTTTTCAAAACTTTGAATACATTTTTATGGTGCTGGGAATTGAAGCCAAGACCTCAAGCCTGCTAGGCAGGTACCCTACCACAGAGCCACATCCCCAACTCTCAAACATGATGTTGAATGGCTCCTGTAACTCCACCATATGGATATACTATAATTTAGTCAGACTGTTGATGGCTTTGTTACCAATTTTTGCCTTATAAATAACATCTTTCTACAAGTGCCTTTCCACACATCTTTGGTAATGTCTGAATTAACACTTACATATAGGCAACTGTTGAGTGAAGAGTTAGGGTAAGTGATGATTAGGAAGGTCCCTGGAGCCAGGGTGTACCAGGACAAGTGTTGGTCACACACCTTCCCACACCCTGCCCGTGTTACATACTCATGCTTTCTTCACGCTGAAGAAATGAGGCCACTTCCTTCTTTTGCAGTGAAGTACTGGGTTAGATCCGCAGCACTACAAGAAAAAAAATAGTACTTTGTGGAGAAAGATAACCATAGGCCAGGAAGGAAGCGTGGCGGAAATATATCTCAAACTCATGTTCCATGTGTCTTCTCTCTTCTATCTTACCTATGCTCTCTTTGGGCCAAATTCTACGAAAGCTAGAAGTTGGGCACTGCGCTGATGCAGTCTCTAAAGTCAAGCCTCTCGAGGTGGGTGGAGGGGTGACCTGGAAAGGGGAATGGAGAATTTATTTTTTGTTGGTTGTGGGGCCTGAACTCTGGGCTGGCCTGTCCCTCAGCTCTTCAGCTCAAGGCTAGCACTCTACCACTTGAGCCACAGCGCCACTTTAGGCTTTTTCTACTTAAGTGGTGCTGAGGAATTGAACCCAGGGCCTCATGCATGCAAGGCAAGCATTCTACCACTGAGCCACCTTCCCAGTCCTAGAATGGAGAATTTTCAGCACAGGTTGTATAAATAATTGTGGCAACTGAGGCTGAAGAGTTGGGCTACAACCAACAGCTGTATGCGGGCCAAGCCTTCACTTGGCTTCCTGCAGAATTTCAATTCCACTCCCTTGACAGTGGGGTGGCAATCTGTTCCATTGTCAATCACAATTAGCAACTTAGAGCACTGTGTTAAGAAAAAAATCTCAAGTGTTTGGTGGGGGGAGGGCAGGGACAGATGGATTGGTAGTGGAACCGACGATGATACCTGTGCAGAAAAGTCTTTAAGAGAGATATTACATTCTACCAGCAGCAAATGCAGGGCTGACATGAAACCAAATCTTCACATCTGCTTCAGGTTCTTCATTGAGTGTCTTTCTCACACACAGGTGACTTAGGAAGAAAGCTACCACAAACAGCTTCCTAAGTCAGAGGTCACATGGTGTGAATCATGAGCTCTCATCATTATTAAGAATTAATAATGCTTGGATCAAGAATTAATCACTGAGCCAAAGGCAATCTTAGACAAGTTGGGCAGCAACTCAGGGAATGGCCCAGCAGGAGTTCCATCCATCTGGAATCTGACTAACAGGGCCAATCAAATGGCTCACAGAGAGTCAGAATTCAAAGCTGGGCACTGGTGGCTCAAGCCTATTATCTTAGCTACTTAGGAAGTGGAGGTCTGAGGACCACAGTTTGAAGCCAGCCTGGGTAGGAATATCCATGAGACCCTTATCTCCAATTAACCATCAAAAAGCCAGATGTGAGCCAGGCAGTAATGGCTCATGCTATAATCCTAGCTACTCATGAGGCTGAGATAGAAGGATTGTGAACGCAAAGCCAGTCTATACAGGGATATTTGTGAAACTCTTATTTCTAATTAACCATCAAAACACCAGAAGTAGAGCTGTGGCTCAAAATGAGAGTGCTAACCTTAAGGAAAAAGGCTCAGGGACAGTGCCTAGGCCCTGAGGTCAAGCCCCATGACTGACCAAAAACAAACAAACAAAAAATCAAATGTAGAGCTATAGTTCAGTGGTAGAGTACTAGCCTTGAGCAAAAAACTAGGAGCTATATCAGGCTCTTAGTTCAAGCCCAGTACCAACACACACACACACACACACACACACACACACACGAGCAAAATTTAACAGACTCAAGGACATAATACATAAAAGGTAAATGGCTAAAGGACCTCAGGAGGAAGAAAGAAGCTATTAAACAAAAGCTGAGGCAGAGAAAGCAATAGAAATGCAGGGAAGGTAATGATGGGAGAAACAAGGGAAAAGTCTTAGTGTAGAAAGGAGCTGAGCATAAACTATTGGAATTGCTGGTTTAGGACCAAATACTTCATGGAAATTTCTGGAAAGGAAACTGGGCAGGTGGCT